CTTACGCAACACCGATAAGTTTGGGTGAGGAGTCGTGCTGGTGAAGAAGTATTTGTCACATCGGCGAGCCCAAGTATTCTGCACATGGATTGCTTTGCGTTCAAAGTTTGCTCCATAGGTGTTGACATAACAAAGTATCTTGGCTTTTCGGTTGGGAACTGGATTATTTCTCCAAGTCCAAGAGGGGGTTCTCACACAACTCGAATTTCTACCGAAATTCAGAGCACTGTGGAGCAAATGTGCAGTAAGCATTCCGAGAAGTAATGCACAGGACACACGTAACGGCTTGCAGCGCATCGTCGCCGAGCTGACGGAACTGGAAAGGGCAAACTCTGTCGGCTGATACCATTTCGTAAATGCCGTGCCCGCTGCAGTCATCAAGTGAGCAGCTGTGACGGGAACGATAGCGAGGGAGCTACGTCAGAAGTGGTGGGTAGCCAATGCTAGTTCAATCGGCGGTATCGGAGTACGAGACGTAATCCCATTGGTGCGTTTCAACTCATGTGAAATCAGGCCAATAGCGTGAGTGATCCGGGACGCCGTCTGTCAGGTGATGCGTGCTCTTCTGCCAGTCTCCTCGATGCTTCAGGTGCACTGCGCGCCTAATTCTAGCGTGCACTCCGTGTTTGCGCTAAGCAGACAGGGAGTCGCGACAGCAGCCAGCGCCGTTTATTTCGATGATGGGTGGGGCCGACTACCTTGATTGGTTTGTGCACCTCGCAAGTTAAGCGGGAATGAACCACTCATAATTGGGGTTGTCGGAGCGCTTCCTCCACCGTTGCATTTGTTATCATCTGGGTATTCGAATATGGTTGCTCGTTTAAAGATTGTGTCAAGGTCGCTACATACGTGACCACCTCAAACTGCATTAGCAACTTAGAACGCACTTCCGAGATGTACCTTCGGGATGTTAGGACTGCATACGAAACTCAGGTCAGCTGAGAAAGGTGATCGTCTGGGTTCGTTGTTTCACCGTACAGTAGTACCCGTAATGAAGCTTGTAAGTCTCGCCCATGGCCCAGTGAGCGCATGCGGACGTGCTATAATGTAGACCGAATTACTCCCAATCTATTTGTTGCGATGCGGAGATGAGAAACACTGGAGCACATGTTAGAGCACCAAGCGTGATCATAAGTTGGAGCGTTGGGAGCAATGGTGAGAGAAGTCTACTTCCAAATGCTTTAACCTCGATCCAAGATACCGAAGCGACGCAACTAAGTATAGTTGGAATAGGGAGACATAAAAGGTGCACATTCAACGCAACTCGCGGATATCTGTGCAAGAAAGCGCCAATGATTAATACCAATGTAGTTAGGTCAAGCAAAGGATTACGAATCGCGCACCAAAGTACGATGAACGCAGTTGCCATGACTGGCGTCGTCATGGTAATAATAATTAATGCTGATGGGGAAAGTGAGGTGGAGTATGAAGTGGAATACAACGAAAGGTGCGATGGGGAAAAGGGAGAAAGGCAAACGAAAAGCAATAGAATACGTAAAACAGTGAGTTATCAGTAAGTTGTTTGTTCCTTATGTTCATGTGTGGAATGGTAATAATATATGAGACATGTTAACAATGAGACGACACAGGAACGGTGTCACAACCAGCAAAGAAACCTCATCTGAACTGGAGATTCGTAAAATGTGCGCCCAGAAATGCTTTGAATTTGAACAATGAGTTTCCTTTACCATGTATACTCGCCACTCGAAGCCCAGCGGGTTGGTGACCGAGTTTATTGCAGGATGCACGCAGATGGATTAGCGCAGCATCCGGTTTAGGATTTGCCAGTCACAGTGGCCTCCACGGGGACAACCACAGGACGCCTGCGCCTACACATGGGTGGCTTGCGCCGAACCGCCCAAAGCTCCATTCATACACCTCATATCCAGTGTAAACCCGAAGGAATAAAACCGGGCGGCATGTGGATGGGAGCCAAGTTACATCAACGGATCCGGCCCACACTCCTTCACAGGCAAACACAAGCACGGTGTATTTGGGTATCAGTTGTATCGCCACTGATGCCTTCGCCCCACGACCGTAAGAAGAAATCCAAAGACGAGGCAGAAAGAGAGTTTTATATATGAAATCACATTTGCTCACATAGTTTTGAAGGCAAAATGTAGGGAAGCTGCTAAATTACACTTGGGCCAATCAACAGAAGGAAAACGTCAAATGCAACGGCGAATAAGCAACCATGTATTCAAGAGTGAACCGCATATATCCTTAAAAATAGCATCATGGGACTCCAAGCGTAAGGCGAACATTCATTTACAGTGATGGGTAATGGCCAATCAGAAGAACGAAAGGTATCGTTTAAACAAATGTCACGAAACCAACGAGAATAAGAACTGCATACCCAAAAATTAAAACTAGTACAATAATTGTGTGACAACTAAATATTCCTTTAACATAACCAAGTAGAACAGTGATACGGAGAAAAACCAGTGGAATGTGTTCCCGCAAATGGCACTGCTGAAAAGGACACGAGATGAGCGTCCATTAACAATGTGTACCAATCGGGCGTTTAAACGATAGTCAAGAAGCAGAAAATAGGAAGAATGAAGAATGGCTATTAAGTTCGTTCCCAAAAATTGAATGTCTAATAGCTATTCTCCGGGAGGCATGCTGAAGGGAACCAAGTTCCATCAATCGAACCGGCCCGCATTCCTTCACAGACGAACACAAGCACGCTGTATTTGGGAATCACGCGCACACAAGGCGGTGGTTGGACCGCAGTCCACTCCACACTAAGTGTATAGAACCACTCTTCGAGTCTAGCACGGCGACAAGGACCGCGCACCCAGTCCCCTCCAGCAACGAACAACTGTCTACTGGAGTGAGAATGGACGAGGTAGTGGGTAACAGCCAGGTAGGCACCTTGTCACCGTGTATAACAAGCATAGCCACACCGGGGATATCAAACAACAGCCAAAAACTTGAAATGAGAATAAGATAAAATATATATCGAATCAAGCATACACAAATGCTGTCATAAGCCTACGCTAAATGAGTATATGAAATAAATTGGTTACGAACAAATTCGCGATAAGTGAAAGATGTCAGAAAACATATTTCACGAAAAAGCCACAAACGCAAAAATGTTAACGAACTGTACCAAAATTAGCTTAATCAGATAAACGTAAAGATGAGGTAAAAGACATATGAATTGCGACAGGATAGCAAACCCACCACCTGAAATAAACTCAGCACGCAGGCACACGGTTAGTAAATGGAATGCAGCGTACCTACAAACCATGCGCCGGTTCTGCTTCCGTTCTCTTCAAGATCCGTCGTCGCTTCGATGCCGGTCCCGAGTGCTCTCGCTAGTGGCTCACTAGGCATGCCAGATTTAGGCACTCGCGACCGCATGTGCTACAGTACCATGCGCTCGAGGTAGATGGAGTACAACCCATCGGCGCTTGCCGCTTCCGCACTTGCCGCTTCTTCTCTGCATGCATGAGGGCTTTCTCCCGCACCTCGGCAACTGTCTTCGTGATCAGATCGCGCCATGCATGCCGATCCACCGCTTTCGATTCCCATGACCCGCAATCAAGATTAAAACGTGAGAGGCTCACTATGATCATGTCCTGGTAACGCAACGTTGGTTTCCTTACGTGCCGCTTCCCAGTACTCAGCTGACCGTATAAGAATTGTTTCGGTATCCGCGTTGAATCCATACGCCACACATGACCGAGTCACCTCAGGTGTCTCAGCAAAAGGATGCAGTCCACTGCATAGATGCCACTTCGACGCAACACTTCCGTGTCCGCAACTCTGCCGCACCTACTGATGCACAGAATCCGTTGCAAACACTGCTGATGGAACCGCTCGAGATATCGCACATCCTGCAGGTATATCGTCCACGTTTCACTATGATATAAAGGAACGGACAGCACCATGGATTTGTATACCTTCAGCTTCGTGCCAGTGGTAAGGTGATGGTTGTTCCATACTCGGTACTCAAGCTTCCCGAATGCCGCCGCTGCTTTCGAGACGCGGATACGCAGCTCACTGTGTAGCTGCTGGTCAGCCGACATCACACTCCCAAGGTAGCAGAAGCGGAAGCTGGTTTCCAATACGCAGCACCATTGTAGATTGCACCTCCGGTGAAAACTGAAAGAGACAGACAGTTTTGCGTGTGCTGATGATGAGCCCGAATTTGGCCGCCGTCGTAGCCAGAGTACTAGTCATATGCTGCAACTCATGCGCAATGTGTGCAAACAACGCACAGCCGTCAGCAAACAGCAACATACGGATAGTTATCTCACAGGCTAGGGTTCCTGCATTAAAACGACGAATGTTCAGCAACCCATCATCAATACGGTGCTCCACACGAACACCGCATGAAGGTAAATATTAAACAGGGTGACAGCTAAGACACAGTCTTGCTTCACACTAGAGATAACTCACAGTCATCCGAGGTCTCTCCACTCAGCCGCACCCTCGCCCGCATACCACTGTGCAGACATACAAAAAACGTACAAACATACTCGAAAAACCAGAAATAACAAACATCAGCCACAATGCCTCGCGATTCACCGTATCGAATGTCTTAGTGAAATCAACAAGCAGCGAGTACAACAGTTGGGGTCGCTCTCCACTTTTCTGCAAATGACAAGCCGTAAACACCATATGGATGGTGCTGCGACCCGAAGGGAATCCATATTGCTCTTCCGCCACGTTCGGTTAAACAACCGGATTGACGAGGCGGTTGAGAAGAATTCGGGCAATCACGTTGCCCACACAACTCAGGAAGTTGATGCCACGATAATTCGTGCAACATTGCTTGCTCCGATTGCCAATGTACAGTGGTAGCACAAGGGCATGCTTCAACTCAGGAGGCACCCACACCTCAACCCACATGCGTTGGACTAAGTGGTGCAACGCAGTAACCAAAGCCGTTTCACCGCGTTTAAATACTTCAGGTGGCAACCGTTAGCACCTGCACACTTGCCGTTTCGCAGCTGAGGTGCCGCAACGTGGATCGCTATCGCCAATGCGGTCCACAAATCCACAAAAGACAAAAAAATCTAGTGCTCTTAAGTTACGAACTACAAGGCGGAATCATGATGCCTTAAGTCTTGTGTGCACCAACGTTCCTGAATCCAAATCCAACGCAATAAGGGGTAAACTGATAGACGATCGTAGTCAGTGGGATTCCATCTGTAGTGCCATCAGCATGCGCGCTTAACCCAGTACGCTGAGACCCATCGCTCGACACCTATACTCCTTACACTATGGTGAGCCTCGACTCGGATAAAACGGAATCCATTCTGCTCGCTGTGAATCGACACCACAGATCATCAAACAGAGTACGCATCTTACCGGATATTCCGTGGAAAGAACGTTCAAATGATATGAACAATCAACTGGGAAGTAGAAAACACGCACTGAAAACCGTCATTATCCATGGCGTCCCCGAGTCTCAAGT